GGTTGACATTCCACCACACAGAAATGGGGGTCGAAAACTCTACGGGGTACACGGGGAGGTTGTAGCCCATGGGGGTCAGCACAGCCAGAACCATCAGCAGGCCAACCACCACGTGGCCGACCAACCACAGTCCACGCGACTTAAGGCTGCTTGGGAGGATAACGGTGTTGTCGGTGGGGTAGCCGCCTGGCGGATCGGCTGGCTTGGGCGTCGTGGCGTCACGGTAGCTCGTAGAATTGATCATTGCTGAAGTGGTCAAATTGAACAATGTTTGAGCTTACGGCGGGAGGGATCGTTTTGGGGGCGGATGAAGTGGTCAGAGGTTGTGCGATTGAAGGTGTTGAAGCTATTTTGCAATGAGATGTGCGCTACCGCATCTGGCCGCATAGTAATGTTAAGGTCACAAGTTGCCACGTATGAAATCCATCGGGCCATATCTATGGATTGATCTGATTGGTGATTAGCTGCCCAATCACGTTACATGCGTAATCTGATTGGCTGCAAGTTGTAATCGAGCACGAGGCGTTTAAATGGACACATTGTTGCCTTGGATCTTTGGTGGCCATTGGTTGTATGAGATAAAAAATCGGTTCAGCAACCACTCGGCGGCGGCAATCTAGAATGGGACCGATTTGCTTGCTCTTCGACGTAACTTGGCCCCCTGAACTGCGTTTGAGGCAGCTATTCAAGGCAAGGTATATAGCGTGTCATTTTTGCTGATTGAGATACATTGGTGTGGTTATGCTTGCGACAATGCTCGGGTTGGGGGGATAATTGCTTGTCTGTTAAATCGGAATTGCACTCTTGATTGTGACTATTTTGGGTACATACAGTACTGTACTCGTAGTTGCAAGATTCTCCGGCGTACCTCATTTTGACACCTTCAAATCTCATGTGAGTTCTACTGGGTGTTGGGGTACGAATGGACACATCAAGGTAATTACAATCTTTACAGAACATGTGATGCTTCCGGCACAAGTTTGCAAGGGCTTGCAAAATGAAGTAAATTTAGCCCGCGTAAGTTTACAAAAAGAGTCCTTCAAATTATTTACTACTCGGAGTACCATTATTATTATTAATTACAGTGTAGTCTAATCCGCGTGTTATGATTTTAAATGACTGGATTGGGCAAGTTTTAGCCAATAAATCAATGGCGGCATTTTTAAACTGTTGTCACGTGGAGGACCAGTCGTCGATTTCTCGTTGACCACAACATTTATTAGGGAGCCAATTTAGGAAAAAAATCAATTTTCATTTTCGATTCTACTTTTCAGTTTCTGCTTTTCGCCACGAAAACCAAGAAAATACCCAATAATCGCAGTCTATTCCATGGCATACAAATACTAATACAAACACGAAATCGCAGCGCCAGTCACCAATTGTCAACCGAGAGCCCAAACCGCAAGTTACGATATCAGGTGTCGTAGGGAGTATGAAGCGCGAGCTTAGGAGCATGAAGAGTTATAGTAGAAGCATACCTAACTACTTCGTCGTCGAATAAGACGACCGTGCAGTGTGGGTTGTAACTGACGGGTGGAGATGATCGAGGTTTCCGAATTTGACACCGCCATTCGAAAGCCTTCGACAGTCGACGACAACGAGAATTACAACCCTCCCTACCTGACGTCACCCCTCTTTTGAATGCGGATACGAATGACTTTCGAGGGCCAAATTGACTCCACATTGCTTTTCGTGTAAGCTAATAAAAATACAAAAGAATATATATTTGCTTTTCACAATCGAACGAAAAGCAGAAATTTCCTAAATTGACTGTGAGGTATTACACATATACCATAGTATCAAAATATCCCCAAGATTAACGTAAGCTCATTCATTGAGGTTTAAAGGATATCAATTTAAATAGTATGGTGCAAGTTATCTAAAGACTACAAAAAAATGCTTTGTCTTTCGACAGCTATTCCAACTTTGTATTGATATTTTTAGGAAAATAAGCCTAATAACGATAGAACTGGACAAGTCCAACACAAGTTACGGTTCAGATTTTCGATTGGTGAAAAATTGATCGAGTAATAGAATTTAAACCAATCGGCCTTTTTGTATGGAAATATATGGAGCCAGGCACATTTTGGCGCATCAAGTATATCTTGGTCTTTGTATTCAACACTTATCCGTACGAACGTTTCCATTGTATCAGGACGTTTAACCTAATTACCAGGTAAAAACGTAACAAAGAACGATTTAACGTCAAACTTTCGTGGGTTTAACTGAAAGAACCGAGGCATTTAATAGTAAAACGTCTCCTCCTGAGAATGGCCCAGTAGCCTGCAAAAAACGACCACCATTCCGGTCATGTCTATCATCGGCGGTTCTTATTCACTTAGCGCCGAGTACAGTGAGGTTGTGTGGAGTACACTCGGACATTATTGGCACCCTAAGCGACCGCGCAGAAAGTCCTCTTATTTCCGCTGCAGAGACTGCAGTTTGGACGGTGTGACACTCATCCGTCGGGGGAGCTTGACAGGAGTACGGTCGGCAACGGGGGGAGGGGGCATGTCGATCACGCGTCGGGTGGTCGAATCCCACGTGTACTTGGACTGGGGGGGGCGTGGGAACCGCCAGTGCTTTGGCAGCGCCTTCGCTGGTTGGATCACAGACACGTACGGGCTCTGGGCGGCGTCAAACGTCGGTCGCTTCGCCGCCATTTCCGCGACGAGCTTGGCGACGAAATTTGGACTGATCCACTTGTCCTGCGACGAGGATTTGCCCATCCAGTCGAGACACGCCATGGGTTCAAACGTTTCAAACCCGTATTCGTGCGAGGGGGACGTGGTGGCTTCCACGGGGGGCGCCCAGTACCCCTGATACGACGGCCATCGCTTCGTGCATTGGTCCTGAAAGTACGACAGCAGCGCGCGACTATGGCTTGGGAACGACGTGTCCAACGGGATCGGGTGCTGCACGATCGATGGCCAGAACGGATGCGGGTACGTTTCCAGGAACAAGAACACGTCGACACCTTCCAGCGCGTACAGGCTCTGCACTAGTTCACCGAAGGATGCGCGGAGTCGACGGAAGCGCTTTGATGGCATTGTGTTGCGAGGATCCAACGATGTTCCGAGGTAGAAGTACCGCTCCCACATTGCTCGACCATGCACGATAAAAAATGCTTGCAATTCGCCGTTCAAGGCCACTTGGCCCGGGCTGTGGCCCGGTAGAAACGGCACGAACGCATTGGACCAGTCGGTCCACGGCTCTCGCGCCACCACCCGCAGCCATTTGTTTGCGAAGGCTTTGCCCAGCGACCGGTCCAACGCTGATGCGAACGATTCCACATCGTGTGTCTTGCTATGGATGGAGGACGAAGGAATCAATGACGTGGCGGCCTCAGCGGAGAGTAGTGGACGGATGTCATCGTTGTTTGGTTCCAAGAGCGTCAGGCGGCGTCGTTTCGGTTCGATTTCGTCCACAACGGTACGCTCGGCCTCCAACGACGCGCGGGGTCGCTTCACAGCTGGTTCCGGTGTTTTCGTCACAAGAGCAACATTCTCTGGGAGTCGGATCGATCGGTCGTCCGGAGTGGAGGGTACTATGGTAGTGTCTTCGTGCTTCACCGCCACCGCGGCAGCAGCTTTGGCAAACACGACGACGTTGATCGAGTTGGCGATGAACGCGTCCACCGTCGCAGTGTCATGGTCGACAAACGCTTGGGCCAACTGCGACAGCCCTGCGGTGTTGCGGACGTCCAATGATTCCGTGAGAAATTTCACAAAGTCGCTAACAATGGCGGCGCGGGCGTTGTCTGGGACGTGATTTCGCGCAGCCTGCCAAGCCGCGTCCACATTCTTGATGGAGCTCGACACTTCCGCAAGGAAGCCAGTCGTCGATGAGCATATGTCCTCGAGAACCTTCTCGGCCGACGTTCGCATCATCGCCACTTTCGAAGCGACCTCGCCCAGCCGCGCTAAGTCAGCATGCAGGTCAACGTCCATCACAACAGTCGAATTTACTGAATTGTCGTGTGGCCAATCAAATCGTCGCATTTCGACAATTGCAATCAGATCTTGGTCGAGGCTGAGCTGGGGCGGTGCGGGTACAAGCGGGGCTCACTGGACATGGACATCTGTGTCTGGCAGCACAACAAGTTTGAGGGCAAGTGGGTCAAAAAGGCCGACGCCCACGGTAGCACGTCGGACGAGTGCGCGCAGCTGCTGCAGTTCCGGCCCGACGTGGCCAACGCCCCGGGTCTGCCTTGCGTTTGTCGACTTGGCCGGGTCCGAGCACGCCGGCCGCGTCACGGCCAGAAGACGGACAATGAGCAGCAAGAGTACCAAGAAATGAACCAAGCACCATAGCAAGAATTAATGATCCACGTTAATTTAAATTCAGAAGGAATACATTTTGACCAATACTATGAGGTATTGGGGCATTTCTATTGACTGAAGTTCTATCGAGATCTGTGAAATAGTAGGACACAATCGTGCAATCGAGGTACATGTTGTTATAGTTGGCCCATGAGTACACGTTGAATTCATTTACATCTCAAACACTTCGAGATGTACATCATACAAAGCATCATCGACTGTGACCGCCTCAATCGCTGCCGACAGCGCCTTGGGGCCGCTCACATACACCCCCACCGACCGCGTCTCGGCGCTAGGTTGACTCGCCTTAATTTCACCAAACAGCTGCACCCAGTTGGCACGTTCGAACTTGACGTTGAAGTGGCTGACGAATTCGTCTTTCGACAACGGTTTCAAATTGGATCGCACTTGCAACTCCGTAGCAGCAGCAAAAGCCAGCGGTTGTGTGGGTTTTCTGATAATGGCAGCGCCATAGGCAAAGAACGACCCGACCACCACGACCAAAAACTCGACAAAGCGCTGCAGAGGCCAGTAGGCGGGGTTGATTTTCGAGATCTTTTGCTGGTATCGGACATAAAAGAGGAGCGCACCACTGGCGACAAACGCCAGCAGCAACACGACCAGCTTGCGCGACGTCGACAGGTGCGAGTACGGGCGGGCCTCGACGCCCGACGGCGCACCCAACGCAAACTTGTGCACGGGTTCGTCGTGTTCGATGGAGATTTCAGAAATATCTTGCTGGGTGACGTGGAGGTGCAGGTGCAAGCGGCCTTGATTGGCTTCAGCCACGCTTTCCAACTCGCGCAACCACCCATGGAACTGACTCAACATCTCGACGGTCTTGACATGCCACACAAGGTACACGTCCTGGTGGGGGCGTGCGTGCAGCAAGTGCATGATCTGCCCCATGAGAGGAGTGACACCAATCCCCCCACCGACGAAAACGACGCTCGAGTACGACGAAGACATGGGGGTCGGGGGGGTGTAGCCAGCGTCCATGTACACGACGGGCTCGACGCCCTCACCTTGGCACTGCTTGACGTAGTCGTGCAGCTGATTGGTCCAATGACCCAATGCCTTGACGTAGATGGTCAAGAGGCCGGGGGTGTGCAGAGGCGTCGAGGCGATGCTGAACGGATGCCACTGTACCGTCGAAATTGCAGGTACTTTGATGTACACAAGGTCCGCTGGGAGGTACGTCGTCGAGCATTTGAACGTGAGCTGGGTGACGTGACCCGGCAGCGCCGTCGCGGTCTCGAGGGCCGCGGGGTACGCCACCGTCGAGCTCGAGTACATGCGGTTGACAATGTACAGCACCATGGACACGTAGATCCAAATGATGATTTGCTCGTAGTGCATCACCGCAGTGAAGGCCGCGGGGATGAACAGCCAGTGGGTGGCCTTGAAGGTCGCGTAGTAATGACGGCGGACGTACGGAAACGAAGTAGCCCCCATGATGAGCATGAACAGTAGAGACAACTCGCCAAACACGTTGATCCAGGCGTCCTTGCCCTGACTGTTTTCAAAGCGGATGTCGCAGTTAAAGCAAGGAAGCAGCTCGTCGGCCAACGTGTCCGTGTTGGCAAACTGCACTAAGAAGATCACAAAGTGCACAAAGAACATCACGATCGTGGCGACTCCGAACCACCGATGGTACTTGACAGCGCGCGCCCAAGGCAAGTTGAGCCATTCCATCCAAAAGCTGTGGCGGGTGGCGGGCAGGGCCAAGAACACCTACATGATGTCGTCAAAACTACGTGGCACGTTGTGTGGCCGTCACGTACCATGTTGTACAGGCCACTGAAGCCTAGCGCAATAGACACGACTCGCAACACGGGCTTCTTGAGCGTCGACTGAAACGTATACGAGTGGTAAAACACGAGGATGTTGCCGACGACGGCAATCAGCACGAAGAGGATTTCACCCACGCTGACCAGTCGATGGAGGAACCGCGGCTTGACGTGCAGCCAGTGCGACACCCCTGCACGAAAATGCGCCTTGCTTAGGCTGAACAGCACCGCCGCGGCAAACACTGGGATAGCAAAGAAAAGGAAGAAGTAGTTGGCAGGGAGCATCTCTTTGCCAGGCGCGAATCGGTCCTTGTTCTTGGGGTTGATGTTGAACCACCCGTTCCACTTCAACGCCAAGTTGTAGCGGTAGATGGCACTTACGTGATACCCGATGGGGGACAGAATCGCAAAGGCCAAGATGGCCCCCACGAGCCAATGCAGCACGGCAAACAAGCCCCACGTGGATGGCGTCGTCTGGTCTACGGCTTTGGTGTCGAACCCAAGGGGCGTCGAGGCCGACTGGAAGCTCTTGACGCTCTTTCGAGGAGATGGCATCTTGTGTGAACTCGTCCAATTTGAAACTAAGCTGGTGTGACAATAATGAATGATACAGCTCTCCAGCCAGCAAAGCACTACGGTACTAGTATTGACAGTCCGTACTACACTTTCGAGTTTCGAGCAGTCCGCAATTGTCCGCTGCAAGTGGCTTGAAGTCCTGACTCAGATATGTCGAGAGCCAGCTTGTCACTGGCCGATTTGATTGGCTGTTATCGATAAGACAGCCCGGCAATAAAATTATATCAGCAATTCCCTCGCTGCAACAGTAGTACTGTTGCTACGTAATCATTTGGGCCTCCAGCCATACAAAACCCACGCTATTTCTGGCACATAGTCAAATCAAGTGTAATTTCAAAACATCTCATTTCAGCTAGGGGTGAAGTGCATCGTCAGTGGTTACTGTAGCAAGCGCTAACCACTGATGATGCAGCTTAACCCCGGGAATAGCTTTGTATGTAAGCGCAAAGGGTCCAGGTCTTGGTAAAAGTGATTACGTAACAACAGTACTATTGTTGCAGCGAGGGAATTGTTCGGAATTATATACTATTAATAGTACTACAGTAGTATGCGTAAACCTAAAGCATGTGGAATATGCTTCCGCAACGGCAATGTGATTGTCCAACCGTGCAATCCAAGGACAGTGGTATGGTGAGCTCGAGAGTTTTTAGCACGAGCTATGGTGCACTTCATCTAAAAACTTCCAACTGGCCAAATTGAAGAGTGGAGGTTTTATTATTTAACGTGCAATTAATGTAGTTAAACTCAAAATCCAGATACGTTAAATACCGATTTCATGCGTTTTATCACTGGAGTGGGAGGTTAAAGGCCCCTTGCCTCCGGATATTAAATACGGATAAGAGTCACATACAAAAATCAAGATACATTTGAGCGGCCACCCCTATGGCCAAATATCCAAGCACCCATGTAAAATACCGCTAGGTTAAATATCTATTTCTGGACCAATTCATCACCAAATTTGAATCTGAGACGTAGAATTTCTTCACCACATTGAGATCTGTCGATTATACGTCTCAATTTGCTGCAATTTTGAGTAATGAATATGAAATAGAAGTCAGAAAATTTTGTGAAAAGTTGGTAGTTTATAGATGACGTGCACCATACAATACGATCCAAGAAGAAAGATGTATCTAGGCAGTGGTGCCAGGGTTTTATAGGTCTGAAAGAAATTGAAAGAATGGGAAGATTTGAGATCGCAGTCAAGTGATACTATACGTATAGTCCTGTACAAGGTGGAAATTACAACCATTTTGTCTAACAATAAAGTACATTTCAAATGGACAGCTGCAACTTGTATTGGATGTCAAACAGTTCACCAAATGACTGCGAAGGATTTGAACCGCCCATTGGCCACAAGTAGGATTAACAATGTTGGTATGACTCGATTCCATTTGATTGCTATGCGTAGAGTAGAGTGTATTCATGGTCAAGTCTTACGCATTCAATGCCAGTGGACAGCAAGGGCACAAGTGTGCACGATGCAAATGTCCAACGCAGGATGTTGGTTTAATCAAAATGGAATCACAAGTCTAGGCAATACAGTACCACGACCACAGCTTCGAAATGGGGGCATTTCCAAGTTCACTGTCAAATTCGTATGAAATTCCTTTGGAATCTTCGATTGGGTGGCGACTACTATTAATAGTATTAACGTTAGTATCAGTAAAAAAGGCGACTCTCAACTGTTGTACTGTACATCAGTACTATTAACCCATCTACTGATCGTAAGGTTTAATACTAGTACTGTACTGGTAACGTTACTGTACCTACTACAGTAGCGTGTTACTGCTGGTTGTATGTAATAGCTCGTGTGGGGCCGTATACTATGTGGTACCTACTGGTACATTGAGGAATAGGATCACCGACCGACCATTCATTCGGGGATTTCGACGCCGTATGGCGATTTAAAAAGGAAAAAAAACTGTAATGGAAGTACAGAACATACCGGGACAGTTATATTTTGTAGTGGGGCTGGTCTTTTTTTCTCGCTTAAAATACAGTTTCACAGTACACTTCATTTTCCCACTCGAGTAACTTACAGTTAACTACGGATTCGAAATCGAGATATTCTGACTAACGTTACCAATGGTCAGATACCAGTGCGTGCTATCAATACTGTACTCCAACTCATCAACAATTGCATTTGGTATGTACTAACGTTAGTATTATACTCCGGAGTACCACCAAGGTCTTCATTTCGACCGATGGTCCATTGAGGGCTTGCTTGCACAATCGTCCACATCATAGGCTCCGTCGGGCCAACTTCGTTCCCTTTAGCGTACAAAGCCCCCCTTGTGTTACTGTATTGAATGGGGGCACCCATAGGAAGGCTTTGTGAATTGGTCAAGTCGTCACGTAAAATGATGTGAAACCACATGGCTACTTTTGTCCACCATCAGTAGTGGCATAGGATCACATGGATCTCATAGATCTTCTGTGAAACTCGTTATGGATTGTTCCAAAGTTCCCCTTGCATTTGACTGTGAATCGTCACCAATGAATTTTCAAATGCCCAAGGGGAGGGCCAGCCGAACCTATCGTTTGACAGCATAGGGAAACGGAATGGACTACGAGTTGTATAGATGTAACGTTACCGTGAAATAATGTTATGGCAAACACCTGAGCAATCATGGAGGGAACGAGGGGAAAGCTTGCGCAATGTACACAGTAGCCAAGCGAGGGCAGATTGGTCACAAAAATGGCTGGGCCAACACAGATCTTGGCCTCGTGACATCTAAAACGATACTTACATTCGTAGAAGTGGTAAGCCTACGACCACTGTGCGCGAAATTGCGACTTCGGGGCGAATTTCCCCTCCATATGAATCTGGTGCATCCAACCAGGACGGAAAAGCATCGGCCTGGTTCGTTTTCTGGCCAAAGGACATCACCTGACTGCCACACTCGCAACTAATCGACAGCTTGTGTCATATTGGGCATCACTTCCACAAGTACGATCGGACTTTTCCAAAAGGTTAACGTTAGGGAGTTTTTATTCTGGTTTAGACCGATGTGCTTCTGCCCGCACAATATGTACCTGCCTCGCAGCCCAGCTATGGCACTCGCAGCGAGGTACGCCCCACGTAGTAGCCCCCTAACCAACCACCCCACTGCAGTGGCCCGTAGCCGTCAATATGCGACCGTCCGTCCCAATGGTGTGTTGCTACCGGTAGAGCTGTCTCTTGACCAGCCTAGCCTACCACAAATTGCGGGACATACACCGATTGTATGATTACTTAGTGTAGATCGCTACTGGCGGTTGCACTCCAAACTGGTGTGCAGATCGTAACGTTATTCGTATTGCACACAACAAGAGGTGCCAAAAGTGGCTTTCTCCTCAAGCACACAGTAACAAATTCACACTCGCCAGCCAAGACAGGGCTTGCCGCCCTGCGTTCAAGTCCACCCACCTTTTCCCTAGGATATGTGTACCAAATTGCGTTTATGGCTACAGTTCTCCACGCAAAGCTGTTCGGAATTTCGACTGCGGATGCCTTTCGCTGGAAGTGACAACGATAAACAAATGAAACACGTCGTCGCTCATATAGAGCAAAGGCAAAGCATTGTAGATCTAACGCCGGTATTACTCGAACGGTTTTATCGTCTATGCCAACGACAGCGCTGTCGGTCGCTCTGCTTTGACGACAAAGTGGTTGTTGCAAAGGGGACAATACTCGTCTTCCTCTGAGAAATGACTAATGTCGATCATGCTGACAGCCACGATAGTGAGAACGCATTGTGTAACTACCTCATAATCTTGCGGAAACACTTTTTGCATTGCTTGCACGCAAATGCCATTTCAGGAGACGAGGCGATGGGATGATCGGCCATTTCAAAATGGCATTCCGTGCAGTCGAACCATCGCTTACAGCATGGCGCTCGAAACGCTACCTGTGACAGAGCACCTTGAGAGTCATCAAATGCATGCACTTCATGGAAAGGATCGCGGACCTGGACATTGATAATGTGCTTGCACATGTGTGCGTGCCGACGAATGACCGACACGTCTATTTATAAGTCGTGGGCCAAAGCCCACGACTTGCGTGTCTTGGTTTCGGGTGTAGCTACTACGGCTTCACGCCACCACCATCATCATTGACCACCAGCTAGCTTCGGGTGTAGCTACTACGGCTTCACGCCACCACTATCATCATTGACGACCAACAGCTAGTTAGCGGCTATCGGCCCGACATTGAGGTTGGCATAATCTTTGTCGATTGAAAATACCGAGATCGGATTGGTCAAAATTCTTCCGCTCTGTTTAGTCGCCACAACCAATGAAAAGAGGTCGTCAAAAGGCGTTTAAATTCCGTCCCCCAAGGCATTCATTTGTAATCAACGTAATTTGGCCCATCGTGTATTCCCCCACTGCGGACTTCAAGAAATGGACAGGCACGACGAGCTACAACTGCCACAGATGTCCGACTTAAGTCTCGGCGCGACGCTCCAGGTAGAACGGCGAGCGTCTTCTGATCGAATGGACAAGATGATGAACAGTGCAACGCTACCTCCGCCTCCCGCGCCGACGTCGTCGTTCGGATTCAACCCGAGTGGGGTTCCTGGGAGCGGCACGTCACAGCCGATCATTGCGTCGTTGCCCATGGAACTCATGCCGCCTGGATCCGCAAAGAAGCCCAAATTGCTCGTCCTTGGCATGGGTTACACCGGTTCCCGCGTCGCCTTGGCCTTTCGTGAAAAGCTGGGCTTTAGCATTTGCGGTACCGTGCGCAGTGCGCGCGCAAAACTCGACTTGATCGGAAAAGGTATCAAACAAGTGTACTTTATGGATAACGGTCAGCTCGAGATCGATTCCTTTCGGCTCTTGGAAGACGTCACCCACGTGCTCATGTGCATACCGCCTCGTCCAAGCGCCGACGGCGTCGACTCCGACAGCAAGGATTTGGTGCTGGAAGCCCTACACTCCGAGCTGAAAAAGCTGTCGACGCTGCAATGGATAGGCTACGTGTCGTCCGTGTCCGTGTATGGCGACAGCGACGGTGCCACGATCGACGAGACAGCGCCGCTGTTGGCGGGCACATGTCGTGGGCTGTTGCGCGTTCAGACCGAAGCACAATGGCTGCAGTCTGGTCTTCCCGTCCACGTCTTCCGTGTCGGTGGCATCTACGGACCCGGCCGCGGCGTGATCGCGCAGATCCAGCAAGGAGTCGCGAGGCGGATCGTCGATCTCCCAGACAAAGTGTTCAACCGCGTTCACGTCGACGACATTGTCAACATCCTCCTGCAATCCGTGGCGCTGCCGAACCCCGGCAGCATCTACAACGTTGTGGACGACGAGCCTGCGACAGGGTTTGACGTCGTAACGTACGCGTGCGGGTTGATGCAGGTGCCGCCACCGTCGCCCATCTCGTGGGCAGACGCCGAAGCCACCATGTCTGCGATGGGCAAGTCGTTCTTTGAAGAAACCAAGCGCGTGTCCAACGCCAAGGTCAAAGCCGAACTGGGCGTCGCATTCCTCTACCCGACGTACCGCGAAGGCCTCGCGGCGCAGCTGGCACAAGAAGCCGACGACGACATCCTTCCAGCCTCCACATCCCCGCACGCAGCACATCCGTCTCTGACCAGTCGGCGTCGTGGGAGGACACACGTGTGCTTTGTCGTCAACCGCGGCGCATTGAAGACGGAGCCATTCTTGGACCTGCGCGCCGTCTGCGCCAACCTCACGCGTCGGTTCGACGGGTGCGTGCAGTTCGTGCCCGTGAGTTGCTCCTTGTCGGACCAAATTCCGCCGTCGCAGCTCCACGGCGAACCGGCGCAGTTGTTTGATGCGGCGCTCGCAGCTGTCACGTCCGCCGCCGCCATGGGGCCGCTGGACCTGGTCATCCTGCCGCTGTTTATCGGCAACAGCGGGGCCATCACAGAATTCATTCCGACCACGATCGACGCTGCGCAGAGGACCCGAAGTGCCCACAACGTCCCAGCCTTGCGGTACTCGATGGGGCGCTGTCTAGTCGATATCAGCAAGCCATCCGACAACCGCGTGGCGAGAATACTGGCTCATAAAGTGCACGCGCTTTGCACTAAGCACCAAGACGCGGCGGGTGGGGTGCGTGTCCTCGTGGTAGACCATGGCACGGCCAACAAGGAAGTGCATCTGTCGCGCGACTTGATTGGATCGCAACTGGCCAAACTGCTCGGGAATACGGTAGCGTTCGTTACTCCATGATGAGCGGCAGAGGCTAATGAAAAACATGTTGTAGGTGGATGCCGTCGAGACCGCTAGCATGGAAGGCCTTGGGAAGGACTTTAACGAACCGCTGCTTGCCACCGCCTTTGACCAGTACGAGATGCACTCGGGGCTTGTGATCGTCGCGCTCTTGTTCTTATCATCAGACCAGCACACGGGCGCCGGCGGCGACATCGACGGAATTGTCCAACGCATCAAGGCCTCCCATCCCAACTTGGACGTGGCGGTCACATCGCCGTTGGGGTCGCACCCGATTCTGACAGACATGCTCACCGATCGGTACTTTGAAGCCATTAAAGACTGGTGATAAGCAGTTCAAGTGACACACATAATCATCCTTGAACATTGTGTCGTACGGCATGTCATTAAAGCGAGGTCAAGACACGACTGTCATAGATTAGAAGATTAGAGAGGTATTTTAAAAAAGCCTATATTACTCAAGATATTTAATTTGTAGACGACGAAATTTAAAAATAATGTGGGTCTTGTGATACAAACCTTACGCAACCTCATTTTTGCTTGACAGGCGGCATGTGGCGATCCTCCCTCATCTTCGCGAGGAAGCAGTCTCTGTTTGCCGCGGCTGCTGCAGGCGCCGCTGCCTTCTCATCTCTAAACGTCGTATCCTCGTGTGACGGCAAGATTGAGGACGCCAGCACCGCATCGTCGTCGCAGGCACAGCCCGAATTCCCCACGGAAGCCGAGAAAATTGTCGGTCGTTACGAGAATCGATTGCGTCGATTCAGCAGTCCTGAGCGAGTGTTCCAGTACTTTGCGAGCATTCGACTGGACAAGCAACCGTACATGACCCGCCAAGACTTTATCCGAGCGTTGACCCCGTATTCATTCCGCAAAGGCGACCAGTTGCACTCGAAAAACACCGAATTCAACCCGATGATGGCGTTTAGCGCGCCAAAGAAGGCCGATGTCGACACATACAAAGCGTTGGTTCAAGACATCATGCGCTTGGGCGAACACGACGAGTGGAAGAAGTCGACGGACGCGAAAAAGGAAATGGAAGCACTGATGACAAAGTTGACCCACGACCACGACATTGACTTACAGACGCATTTGCTCGTGCTGCGGGAGCTCAACGTGACCTGCCGCGAATTTGAAAGCTTTGTGGAGAAGCATGGCGGGCCAAAAGCGCACCGCGAGGCGTTCTTCGACTTGGTGGATGCCGACGGCGACGGACTCATCTCGTACCCCGAGTACATGTTCTTCACGACCCTTCTGAGCAGTACGCCCCTTCATTTATATGCTTGTCTTACTCTCTCCTGCAGTCCCCGAACGACAATTCGAACTGGCCTTCAAGATGTTTGACAACGACGGCAACGGCGTGATCGATCACCGCGAGTTTAAAGAGGTATGGTTCGATCTCATGCTGCAATGCATGACGAAGGGCGTAGATCATGGACTTGATGCGACTGCGCACACCCTCGGGGCGTCAAGACCGTCGATTGAAGGAGAACTCGACCCCGGCGTTCAAGAACTTGTTTGGCGAGTGGGAGCGGTACGCCCTCTCGACCACCAAATTCGAAAGCGACGGTTTCATGCATCTTTTTTGTGTAGGGATCCTCTCACGTATGAAAAATTTCGCGCATTTCGCGCCAACTTGAAGCGCGAAATCATGCATTTGCATTTCGCGCATTACGACGTGGACGGGAGCAAGGAGTTGTCGGCGCGCGAGTTTGGCATGTTCATGGTGTCCCATGTCAACCAAGTACGTGCGTGGGGATGTGTATGATGATGATGATGTACGTACATCTAGACCGAGTTGGACCAGTGGGTTGAAAAGGTCGACAAGCTGCATGGCGTCGAGGTAGATTCGTCAGGCGGTCGTTTACTCGTGATGGAGGGGTTGGCGATACATGGGATGTGTGTGTAGATGAGCATCACGGAGCAAGAGTTTATGGACTTTTACAGCTTTTTGGAAAACCTGGATGCGATGAAGGTTGTGCGACAAGGGGATACATATATGATGGTTCTTCTTCACGGGGAACATAACGACTGCGTGAGTAGGTTGCCATGGAACTGGTCATGGAGAAGCATGGCTTGGACAAAGGTAATGCGACTCCAATTCGTGTTGTATCTATGGGCGTCTGTCTAGATCAATTCTACCGAGCAACGCGTGCGGCGTGCAATGGAGGCCGGCCGTTGGTGTCCCGCCAAATTGTAGACATCATTTTCGCCCTCTTTGACGAAAGCGGTAGTCATACAGCATAATGCATGCATCACACTCAACTTTAATCTCATCAACGAATACCTAGGGGATGGCGCGGTGTCGCCGGACGAATTCCTCGGTGTGATGGAAACGAGGCGCAGTGCCGGCCTTCGTGAAGTAGTTACTTGCTTTCTGTCGCAATGCAATGTCTCATGAATGTCATGCTAGCGCCGCGACCTGGGAGCCGTCGAGTTCTTCAAGCGCATCAAGTCGTGCTTCCTAGAGTGCGTGGCCGACGCGCCATAAATTGTGATAATGGAGTGGTTGGTCTGTCTCCCAAAGATCCAATTCTCAAATGAAAATAATTTGAACAAATCAAATATAATATCTTTCTTTTTGTATACTCAATGTAAAGAATTACAATAAGTTGGAGAAATGAATAATAATATCTTGTGTTTTGTATGCTCATTTTATCATTCACAGATTGATTCGCACACTTTGAAACGGCCGACAATTCCATAGATTCACCGCGCCGGAATCATGTCAATGACCATGATACGACTGGGATGGTGTCTATACGTCGTAGGAGTCGTCGGCGGCGCTTCCATGGCGACCGAGAATGTGGCGCCGTCGTCATGGGGGTCCACTGCAAGGACGTGCATCCTGGTGCTTTGCCTCGTGTCAATGGCGTTCCACTGGCGCAAGCAGATCCTTGGACGAACCGTCTCGTTTGCCGCAACCATGGCGGCAGCCAAGAACGTCCAGTACATCAAAATCGACAAAGTGATTTTGAAGCCGCTGCAAGCGTTCAATGTCGAAATTGTGACGTGCGATGGATGGAGGATTCACATGTCTCGCGTGGAGCTCGACGTCCGGCTCAAGATGTTTCTGTCCTCGTTTGGACAGATGAAGTTGGTGTGGGTCATCGTAGATGCCTTGTCCGTGACTCCACCAAGCACGATTCCCACAACAACGACTCGAGATGAACGTCCCCCTGTACCGGCGGCACCCAGAACGACAGATTCCATCGACCCCCGTACGTTCACAGAAATTCTGTTGGTCCTTTCTCACCTTGTACAAACATAGCAACACCTGTCACAGCAGTCATGGGCGTGCTCAAATTCACTGAGCTTCAGATTCGTTCGATCTCCTGTGTCCTGTCGGTACCCGTTGTCGTAGACGGTTCCACAGTCGTGCTGGCGGTACAATGCTCCGGAAAGGACCTGGAGCTCGCCGTGCATGACATTTCCGCGCCCACAGGGATCATGACTGCAGAGTTTTCGCACTCGTCGTCGTCGTGCTTTGTCCGGATCGTCCCCCCAGGCACACATGTCCACGACGGCCTCTTCGTTGACCCGTCGGCGTCCACGTCGGTGCATGTCAAATATCTGCAGCTGGTAGTCAAGGCACACTACTTGACCAAGCTCGTGCATGAAGCGCAAGTTGTGGGCACCGGACCATCCCCTTCTGCTACTGTTAGCATTTACGAGAACATGATCAAGCTGTTCCAACAGCTTCAACAGCAATCGACACCTGCACCTATCGGCCTTCCATCCAAGCAAGCGACGTTCACTAACGACTCGTTCCAGCTAATCCTCCAGACCCTCCCAGTGGCCGTGCACGTGTTCCTTCACACCACCCAACTGTCCTGGACCACCCACATCGACAGCCTCCACATCACGTCCACCAAAGCGTTGGACGAACTGGCCGCCCATGTCCAGATCAAATCCACGTCTATTTCCTTTACCACAGACGAAGCACATGCCGTTGTACCGTGGATAGCATTGTCTGACGTTGAGGTATACGGATCGATTGCATGTGCTTTTTGCCTATTTACTTACCGTGCAAATCGTAGTTTCATGCGAATCAAAGCGCGGAGAACGTGACAGACCCAACCAATGACTCTGCCGTCGTCGTCTCAATCAAGACCACTGTTGGGTCTGTCATCCTCCAAGTGACTCCAGCAGTTCGCGACCACGTTACTGCATTGCGCGTAGTATCCTTGTCGGGCTTTTCAACACCGCCAACTCCACCGCGTCGCCGTCGGCGTGTTGCCGTGCACGTGGAATCCCGCGATGTTACTGTCATGGTGCAAGACCCATTGACCAAGGCAAAAGGCGTGGCTCGTTTTGTCCGGTTGGTTGTGGAGGACAAGGGCGACGCGTCGTGCCGTCAGGTGTCGATTGGTTCGGACAAGTTCACGGTGGAGATAATGATAGAAGGCGGAGGTATCCTCCGCCCATCGCTGAGCTTGACGGTCGCGAACTCCCACATCCAAGCCTCGGTTGTACCTCGATTGCACGTACAAGTGTCGGTGGAATCCCTAGAAGGCTCGTTCGATTTGAATCAGCAGGACACATCTAGGCTCCCCTGCGATGGCGTCTATGCCCCAGTCAGTCGGCCCCCTCGAGTGATCCTAACACAATTCAACGCACAAGTTACCGAGACGGATGATGTCTGCATGGTGGTGGTGGTCCACATCCAAGACTCCGTCGCTCATTGGAATCATGCTGAACACGTGGCCAGCGTCGTGGCCGTCCGTTCTCTTGCGCGTGCGTACCGCCAATTGCTTGACGCGGTTCACACAGCACCACCACCCACGTCAACGCTGGCGCCTTCTTCGACAACCGCTCGAATCAAAGGACCACTGGATCTGACCATCGCGTCCAAGGCGTTGGCGCTGCACTTGACTGGCATGGCGCACCTCCCAGCCAACCTCCACGTGTTCTCGGTGCAAGAGTTCAAGTACCATCTGGTCGAGACAAATGTCGAGAAAGCCACGATCATTCAAACGGCCGTCGCGCACGTCGATGCCAGGGCTGACAAGCTGATTCACGTGTCGTCGGTGGACGTGCACATCCTTCACAACGTCCTCACTGGGGCCGAAAGTGTCAAGCTCGACGTCCACGACTTGGCGCTGACACTCCCCCCCAAGTGGAAACTCATGGTATTTATCAAGCAAGTTCAGCAGCTCTTCTTGCTTGCGTCCCTTGACCACAGTATGTATGACCTCCAACCCTATCTGTCTCAACTGCACATTCGATCGATGTAAAGTGAAGTGTGATGGCTGAATAATCGTTGTCTAGGTCGACGCACCAAGCCTCCCGTGGAACTCACTGCACGTATTACAAGTGTTGTCGCAACGTTAGCCCTACCAAGCGATCGAAACAATGTCGTGTTGAAACTCACGGGGCAATCTGTGGATATAAAGTCGACGATCACCGCGTCGTGCCAACTGTCTTGCGCCGTGGAAGCGACCTTGAACGAAATGGACACGTGCTTTTCCGTGGCCGACTACCGCCAGCATGTGGCCAAAGTCGTGTCGTTTGCTACTCAAATCGCCGTCCACGACGTCGACCTACGCGCCTTTTCAGCCGTGCAAGACATATGGAGGCTCGAATTTGACTCGATTTCTCTTGCGGGGGATATTCATGACGTGGGACTGAGTAACGCAGCCACCAACATCCCTCGATCCCGGTATTGTCTGGGGCTTACGGCCGACGTCCAGCGGCCAACTTTGCGCATGGACAAGGTGTTTGTGGCGTTGGAAGTCATTCCTGTCGTTGTGGCTGCGTTCGACGACTTGGTCAACGCGTCCATGTTGGAAAATGATGTTGTCAAGGTGAACCCCCGCCAAAAACTCTTTGGGACCATCGACGTGGCGGTGACCGAGAGCTCGTGGGTAGCATTGCTGACAGCGGACAATCCATTGACCTGTCGCATGGGTCACATTCGACTTGGTGTGGACAAGTCGAGCCGCGTGGACTGTCACGTGGCAGACTTGACGCTGGGGCTTTCAAGTGCACGGGTGCTGCACTTGAGTCAAGTGCACTGGGCGATTCAATTTGTGCATCAAGGAAACGTGGCGAACGTGGACCTGTGGCACGCAGTGGTGTGTGCAACAGTCACGAGCCAGACTCCGATGGAAAACAAGTTGTCGGTCGAGTGGACGACACTCGTGGGGGTGGCCAAGACGTTTCTCACGGAGCAACTGCCGCCGCCCTGCCACGATCGACTCGCTCAAGGCTTTAACGCGTTGCAACAGGTGAGCGTCAGCTTGGCCCTGCGCCCAGTTCAAATCGGATGGTCGGAAGCCAACACCCCAACGCTGATGCATTTTGAAATGAACCATGTGGACGTGTCGTTTGGTGCAGCAAAAGACTCGACAGGGTGAGTGCGTCCGGTCGGCCGGCCTCTTCAATCGCCATGTCTACTAGGTGTGTTATTGACAGAATGGGCACTTGTGTAGATCGCGGTGGCAGCCTCAGTCGTTCGCCGTGGACATCAAGTCGCTGCAAGGGTTCATCTTAGACGGCCCAGACATACCCACTCGACCCAACTCGTTTGTGCTGCAAGCCGCGAGCGTCCACGCTGTGAACACGACCGTGCAAGCCAATAAACACGTGCCCATTCAAGTGAACAAGTTGAGATTGGTGTGGACCGTGGCCATTCGAGATCACATTTTCCACATGGTCGACATCGTCCATGACGACGTGGTGCAGCTGCTGGAAATCGCACGGGGTCACGGCTCGACTTCCAAGGCACCCACGGCATTGTTGGTCCACCAAAAGTCGTCGCCAACGTCCTTGCTGGACTTGCTACATCAAGGCAAGCTTGGTCTATCGGATGATGCCACCCCGACCACCACCACCACGACCACCAGCAGCACCACCAAGCAAAACGCGCCCGGCGTCACACAACACTCCAACAACCACTTCCCCGCTGGACTAATCTTAACAAAACGCTACAGCCTCACCCTCTACGAAACCCAAATCCACGTCGCCGAGCCTGACTCGAAGAGCAGCATGGTGGTAGCTTCGCGGCAGATTCAGATCGAATTGGGCAAGGATCCGTTGGTCGCGTACACGATGGCCGACATCGCGCTGACCGACATGACATGCCACGTGGCGCCGCTGGACGTGGACATTGGCGCGGGCGTGCTCTGGTACAATCCGCACCTGCGCAACACGTTGCTGCAGCAGATTCTCAACGAGTGCTCTATCACGGTCAAGTACAACATGGCGCTACTCAGCCAAGCCACGTTCGTCCAAGTGGACATGCCGTCCGTGGTTGTGGGGATGGATTCCAACCAGTTTTTCCAGTGCTTTAGCGTCGTGCGGACCGTGCTGTTGGCGCCGCCCAAGGTGCCGAAACCGAAACCCAACGTGGCTCCGTTGACCATGGACAAGAGCGTCAAGCTGAAAAAGGTGCAGGCTGCTGTCGCCGAGGAGCTGCGCATGGCTGGTCTCCGCAGCACCACCACGACCGGTACCAAAAGAAACTGAACTCGTATCCACAATCATGTTGGAGGATTCAGATGGCGGAAATACACTATAGGGGCCCCGTCAGCCGCGTTGAAATGTGTGGCGTTTCGAATCGGCCGAGCCCAATGCCGATTTCGCGCTGGACCAGAAGACGGCGGCGCCGAGTTTGTCGCCATCGGCATGGACGAAGCCGAAGGCAACCACGTGTACTTTGATGACTCGTGCACGAAGTTTGGCATCAACATGCAGTGGCTCGAGATTCAAAACCTCAAACCTGGCTCGTCGTCCATGTGCTTTGACGACCCCATGGCCGTGGTCAAGCCGAGGCTCCAGGACGGCACTTCCCCACAGAGTACGTGCGCGCCCTTTGGTTTTATGCGGATGATTCATGTTGCTGATTCTTCTAGTCAAAACGATGCTGTCGATTCGGGCGGAAAGCAAGCCGCTACCGCCAAGCCAAGCGCAGCCAGGCGTCCGGGTGTTCGACATGCTGGAAGTGAGCATCTTTCCCGGCATTCCGTATGACATTTCGATCCAGTTGGCCGTGGATTTCTACGAACTCATGTTCAAGTTCTTCTTTGGCAACCAAGTCAAGACACCCATGACCGCCCACGAAATGAAGTTGCACATGGCCAACCCCATGGCCAAGTTTGGCAAGAAGGAACTCGCGCGGCTGCCGTCCCTGCCGACCGACGCGGCGGACGACTTGGTCCCCGACGACGACGACGAAATCGCCGAAAGCTCGGGCGCGGAGTTGTTTTACTTCAACTACGTGCGCATCGGCAACATTTGCCTGCACATTTCCTGCCTGGGTTTTGTCGTCAACTTGACCGGGTTTGAGCTGGAGCTGCCTCACTTTGTGTGCCAGGGCAAACTGTGCACGTGGAAGCAGCTGCTGCGTAAATTCGAAGGCCATCTGGCATGGCACGTGACCAAAGAAAGCGCGTCGTCTGGCCTGAACCACGTCAAGAAGAAGTTTATGACGCTCAACAAAACGTTCAAGCGAAAAGACAAGCAACCACACTTAACACCACCGCCGCCGCCGTTCTCTGCTGCTGCCCCCAACACGAAGAAGGAGTCTGCGGAAAATATGGCCACGCTGTTTGGGCCGTACCACCACCAGGATGTATATACCAGCCCGTTTTAAAGCCACACGTTTCCAGTACCAATATAATTACACGCCTACAAATGTATCACTTGGCCTTCCACGGCGCTAGATTGTACTGGGTAAACGCCTACAAAGTTGATTCATCCCCATACATAAGTCATAGAGTCAAAGACTTGCGACAGAGTAAGTACCTCGTCCGAGGCAAACACCAACTCCATCACATGCAGCGACCCAGACAACACTTTTTGGCGGCACAAGTCGTGATCGCGCAGACCAAAGATCACGCGCCGCGCTTGCGTTTTGTACTCCTCCGTCGTGTCACTGAATCGGTCGTACAGCGCCGTCTACAACCATCCACTCATCCGTGAATGCTTTATGATTTCCATGCGACAAAGTCGATTGATGGACCTCGATTTCGCGACTGACTTTGGGCGATGTGATGATGGCTTGGATCATTTCCACGACGATTTCTCGATCCCGACCAAACGGCGCGGCGGTTCCCACGACGCCGCCGTCGTCCCCTTCGGGGGTCGTGACGTTGTCCGGTTCGTCTTTCGTGGGCGCCGCCTCTGGTACGCTTTCGACAGTCAAAGGGTTCGGCGCACCCACGTCGACAGTCCCCTCGACATATGGGTCCTTTGCTTCCTCGTCGTCCACAGCCGACGCCGTGGGGGGCACCACCGGCTTGGGCTTGGGCTTTTCATACCCCGACTACAACGTTATCAATTGTGGGAGGTACATTTGTTATGACGTACGTACGTGTTGCATCATGTGTTTTCGCAGGGCGCTGGCTGTCTTTTTCACGTTCGGGTTGACCGCGCGTTGACGCAAAGTGTTGATCACCGCGGGCAATCCCGACTTTTGCAGCGTCTCGAGCGAGAACTCTGTCGACGCAATCAGCGCGTTCATGATGTTCAAGGCCGACGCCACGGATTCCTTGGACTCGCCCGCCACGCACCCCTGCAAGTCGGTGGCCAACTGCACGGCCGTGTCCAGGTCCAGCTTGTGAATCACAAGAACCGACTTTGTAGGACTACTACCGGTCCCACCAGCTTCCTCGAGCGTGGTGGCCTCGGATGCAGTGACCTCGTTGGCCATTTTGGGTTTCTTTGACGCTGGTACCTTGACGTCGACTTGGGCTCGCTTTCTTGCGGGGATTTCGACTTGAGAGGTGGAAGCCCCATCGACTTCATTCTCGTTGTCGTCGTGTGCTCCAACCATTCCAGCAGCGTCGGGTTTGTCTTCAACTATCACGGCGGGAGTGGACTCTTCCGCCCCATCTGTAGCTGCTACTGCAATGGTGGTGGTGGTGGTGCTTATTGGCTCCAAAGTGTCTTGGACGGTAGATGCCACAGACGTAGTGGGTTCCGACTTGTCGAGGGTTACTGGTGAGATATCCTGGACAGTTGGAGCGACTTCGTTCGCTGGAGTCGGTTGAGCAACTGGTGGAACTTCAAGCGGAAAAAGTGCAACGGCAGCTTTGGCTTTGGGCGGACGGCCGCGGCGTTTGGGGGTCGCATCCTTTGGCGAACGGCCCCGTGGTTGCTTGATCTCATCTGGTGGTTGGCCTGGTTCCGTTGGGCTGGCGTCTGGGACTGCCACGTCACCACTACCAACAATCATGTCCAGAGGTGGCTGTTGCCCTTCTTGATCCGTGGTACTACTAGTCGTTGGTGTTTCGTCGCTCTTTGCAATCGGGGGTTGGGCTTTAGGTTTGCGTCCAGGTTTGCCTTTCACTTTGACGGGGGGGATCGTGGTGGTGGTGGTTTCAATTGCAATGGGCTTATGATTCGGCTGTTGTTGGACAGGTTCATTTTGTGTTGAAAGGTCGGCCGCCAGCAGAATCGGCTTTGCTTTCGGGGGACGACCTCGCTTCTTTGGCGTGGCAGCGACGACGGCGGCAGCAGCAGCTCGAGTCGCGTTAAGTCCAGCTCTGCCATCGACACCGCCGCGCGGTTCCGCCGAGCTAGCGTTGGCGACGGGATTCTTGGGCGGACGGCCGCGGCGCTTCTTCGGTGGGGGCTGCGCTGCTTCGCAGTCTCCCAAAGGTGGTGACTGCTCTGTGGAAGGGGGGACGGGGGGCTGGGCAGCGGCCTTTCGCTTTCGCGCCTGCTTTTCCCCCGTCGTCTCCTACATGTCCGGACCGTTTGGTTTGTTTCGGAGAATCCAAAGCTCATTACATATACCTTGTCCAGCACTTTCAAAACGACCCACGCCACGCGCTTCTCGATGGGCAGTTGAAACTCGACCTAATCTGACGTTAGATCCATCCAAACCACGACGAGCAGCGAGGTCCTACATACCGCTGCAATGTCCTTGGCTTCGTCAAACTTGGGGTTCTTGAGCGGCTTGCCTTTTTTAGAAGGAAAGCCATCTTGGTACGGCTTGGACGTGTCCTCCCACAGCGCGACCTGCGACCGCAACACGGGCGCGCTATGGGGTCGTGGTTAACAATATCGTGGAGATTTGGGGCTGGACGCAATACTACCTGTTGTTCGCCTGGTAAAAGTAGACCCAAAAGTGCGTGTCCATCATCGGAAGGAACTTTTGGATCGACACGTAGTCGTTCACGAGCATCTTCGGGTCGCAAATGTACCCAGGCCAATATGGATAGCCGCGAATTTTCGCCCACGCTACTTGGCCGTACATCGCCTTGTCCTGGGCCATCAATTCGTCACTCTTGGCGAGAAACTGCGCCGACATGGACTCAAACACGTCGTCCCACCGCGATGTATCAACGGGTTTCTTGGTCGCATGTTGCTTGCGGGGCTGGGATTTGGTCGGTTTCGCCGTTGTCACAGTGTCCGAGTCATGATCTCCATGGTTCGACCCTTTCTCGGCCACGGCAGGAATCGAAGCGCTTGTTAGATCGACAGGACTGTTGTTGTCCATGTTCGCTGAGACTGTGCGGTCGTCGTCGTCATCATTCCGTTGCCCGTTCTGCAGGGACGTGGCCGTCTCGGCCGTAGGAACCGATGGAACGGTTTCAACCTCAGTGTCGACACCATCTATCCTCGAGGTCTCACTCGTCTCCGACGTGGCTGGAAGGACAATGCCGTCGTTCGCCGCGTTGTCCATGGATCTTGATTGCCGCCTGCCCAGTTCACGTTCGAAGGTGTTCCCAACGTCAGATTGTGATTGGCCCAAGCCTGTGGTGGCCAAATTCCTCAGCGGCGCAATCTGATTGGCTAATTTTAAACGACTCGCGCCACTTTTGAATTCACCAGCGACTGTACACATCAACAGGACGTCGGCAAAGCTGCCGAATGAAGCGTTTACATTAGAATCTATCCAAGCACGGGGGTGGTCAAGTGCAAGATGCTGGCGAGCGACTGGACGGCATGTAGCAAGTGGCTGACCTTGGACTGCACCTCGGTGCTCTGGTTGCCAAACGAGGTGAGAGATGTTCGAACTGTGTCGCTTGTGTTGCGTATTTCCTCTCGCAGGACTTTGATGTCCGACGTGCAGAACGAAATGCCTTCGTCGACCGCACTACGCACCTACGAGCCGCATGCAACTTTGGCTACCCTGGGACATATCGTCGTCCTACGCACCCTCGACGAGTTTTTCAGCAAAGCGTCGATCGACGTGCGTGTCATGGCATCACTAGTTTGCAAAGATTCGCGCAGCGCCGCACATTCCTTGTCCATGTACTCTCGATCAAGGTGCCGTTGTTGCTCGAGCGCGTCTAGCACCCGCCTTCACGACCTGGACAGACGTGGACGACGGTACCTGTAAACGAGTTGAGTTGGGCAAGACAATCCGCAGTTTGAGCTTTGATTTGAAGACGCAACGTGCCGAGTTCCTTTGCAAGCACCGTCGTGTCACTGGCAAGGGATGCTAGGGCCGCTCCATGTTCCGCTTGCCTACAAATCGTCACGATTGTTTGACTGGAATTATCCGAAGATAGAAACTACTGCTGAAAGTTGTATTCCTAGCGTACATGGTAAGCGCCAACGCGTGGACTTGGGTCGAATCGTTTTTCAACTTTTGCAGCCACTCGCCCATTTGATCTTGGTTGGCTTGCATGCCATGATGCTTCCGAATGTACTCCCCTTCCCGCACGAGGAGCTGGTCCACGTTTGTGTTCATTCGAGTTCGTTCCGCTTCGTTCTCTGCACATACATTACCCGCAACATAAGGGCCGTCGTACTGCCGGGATGCAAGGGGTCGGTCGTACCTAGAACGGCCACTGACACGCGCGTCACTTGCGTCTGTAGCGTGTCCAACTTCTTCTCCACCATCAATTGATACTGCTGGGACTTTGTATCCATGCGATTACATTGGTTCTCCAACACGGCAATGAGCCGCTCTTGTGCGCGGAATCGCGCCGATACTTTTTCCAGCTCAAACCCCAAGTTGGCCTTGCTTTCATCTACCTCATGGTCAACATACATGAACAACGCCGACCTCATAATGGTTGCCGTCGCACCAAACTCCAAGAGGACCACCTCCGACAGCGACCGGAACCCTTCTTCGAGGGCGTCGAGGCGCTTCTCCAAGCGATGCCATGTCTACTTCAATATGTGAACCTTTCACATTTGATATGTTGGACTCGCGTGCGAACGACGACTGTAGCAGAAGGGGTCCCTGTGAAATATAATACTTCTACACCCTTGCCACAGTCGGTGCTCGCGATCCTCGGTCAAGTGGCCACCTACGCTCTCTCGACCTGGCGCCATCCCCTACGCTGCTTCCGACCTTTCTCAGGTGAGTCGCGCAACCGACCCTTGCCAAGTATGGATGGAATGCGAAACGCCTCACCGTCCTCGTAAAACCGACGATAGAACAAACTCACACCTCGAAATGGACGCCGCTTCGGACACGCTGGCCTTGCTCCGTCCGCATGTCGACGACGCAGGGGACATTGTGCACGTTGACATCGAAGGAGGCAAAGCTCTTGGCATTGTCCTGGACGAAGTCAACAAGCAAACCGTGATCAAGGCGTTCACACGCCACAACGACGCCATTGGCCCGGTGGAACAGAACTCGAACGTGCATGTAGGGGATGCGCTCGTTGCGATCAACGGCAAGGACGTGTCAAAGCTTGGATTGAAAGAAGTGGGCGAGATCCTTAAGAAGCTAAAAGATCGTGCCAAAGTCCTAGGGTGGCGCGTCGAGGTAGAATTCAACCTCCTCCCATTCCACTCGTCTTGTTGACTCGAGTTCGTTACCGCAGAGCTCGCTCCAATCCATCGACCTGGGAGGAATCAAGAGCCCGAAGCACGCCACACCCGCTTCCACGCCTACCGCCGCCCCAGGGACCAGCTCCGGCTCGCCCACGAGTCATGCCGTGGACGCCGTGGCCATCAACATCGCACCGGCGCCCTCTTCTGCCGCCAAGGACCCCAATGCCCCGCCATCGATCGACGCCATCTCCGTCCGCTGCCCTCCAGGCCCGCTCGGTCTTCTCTTGAACAGCGAAACCCTGGACCGTGCCATCGTGATTGGCTTCCAGCCGCTGCCGGACGGGTCGCAAGGGGTGCTGGAAATGCACGACAACATCCGTCCGGGTGCCGTTCTCGTCCGCATCGACGGCGAAGACGTCAGCGCGTGGACGTTGGACGCGGTGAAGCGCCGCCTCGGCGAACTGGCGGACCAGGAGCGGACGCTTGAATTTACGCTTCCCCGACACCGCGCCAACAGCCAGGACTACTCGCTTCGTCGCAAGGAAGAGTTCACGCTCATGAAGCAGAATGACTCGACGAAAATCGAGCGCGGCGAGTGCTGGCTCGTGGTCGATGCCAAATGGGTCGAGCGGTGGGTGACGTTTGCCGCCTTGAACGGCCCCCCGCCCGGCCCCATCACCAACGAAACCCTCGTACAACCTCGATGGGAAGAGCGGCTGGAGGGAAAACTCCCCGGGGATGCCGACCAGCCCCGCGAACACTTGAAGGTGTCGACCGACTACAGATGTGTGACCCCCCTCGTGTGGAGTTTCTTTGCGGCGCTGCATGGCACAAGCAAGTTGCCGCCCATTGCACGGTAAAGCAATAATGTTTGTGTATACATGTGTGACGATGTAATCATAATAGATATGCGATGGACATCTACGGCCGGCAATTGCCAGCGGTGGAACTCAAGAAGATTTTGAAAGGGCCGTCGCTCAAGGCGGAAATCGCGGTCAAGGAGATCAAACATCGCTGCCAGTATGCTCCGTAGAACTGGCTTCTTAAAGCTGCCAGAACATTTGTATCGTGCGTGTTATGTACTGAGATGATGCTGAATCACCAGCTGGAAGATATCTGTCGACCCAAATGACGCTCGGAGCTCCAGCTTCCATAGCCCCTGCTGCCACCCGCAAGTCGATGGAATCGTAGAGAATAATGAACAGGAAGGACATGTGCCGTGGACGTGGAGATGGCGGAGCGCTGCCGTGGAGGTGGCCGCCCGGTCTTTATGCGCCAAGAAGATTGTAGTTAGCGGAGTGGCAATGGCTGCGACCGTAGCCCAAAGCTGGGGGTGGGCGGCCCAGTTGTAGAGGACGTCGGCGAGGAGTAAGAGATGTGGTGGATTGTGTGGTGCAAGGAGGGCTTCTAAGTGGACCGCGTTACCCCATTCCAAGCTACATACAGCGACAGAGCAGGGTGGGGATGGGCGTGTCGACTGATGCTGCCGGACGTTGTAGCCAAGGAGGTCGAGATTGGAGGGTTTGTCTGTGAGCACCAAGGTCGAGTGCGGAGGAAGCAGAGTGGCTAGTACAAGGCCAAGCAGCCCACTTCCAGATGCAATCTCCATGGCATGTAGTGGTTGGCTGAGTTGGGGCAGATGGTACGTTTGCAAAAAGTAGCTCAAGCAGATGCCCGCGTCCCATACGTGGGATGCCATGGCATCACCATACCGCTCTTCCACCGTGACGAGACTTGGAACTTGGTCGGTAGGTCGTTGGATGGAGAACCGTCGGAGGCATGTTGCTACGGACGCTGACGTATCGTTAGACGAAGGATGAGTTCGCACAATGGTGTTGGACCATACTGGAAGGACCAGTACATGCCCATGGGTACCCATACTAGCACCACACGTGAAGGATTGCAACGACATGGTGGCATGTGCAGAGGTCGCATTATTGGAGTGCAGCTGCGCATGGAATCGCAAGGGCGAACAGGATTTTGGAAGAGAAACGTAGATGGTGGCGTGGCGTTGATGAGGTGCCATGACAACGGCGGATTCAGCGATGGACATTGGGACAAACGTGACCGGGTCGCACGGTCGGACGCCTATGACCCATCCTTGGACAAGTGGTGTATTTGGGTGCGCTGTGATGGCGCTTATACCCTGGCCACACTCGTTTATCACTTCAACATGCAGCTTGACGCGGCTTTCTGCATGGGAAATGAACGGCGGTGGTGAGAATCGAAAGCGTAGCCGGTATAGTTCCACAGCCTGGGTTGTCATTGCTCGATTCATTCTCAAGATCTCAAACAGGATCTCAAACGTCGCAAAACTGTATTATCCGGATATTTCGGATAAATACATGAGCTGTACCGTGTTGGAGGAAGCCTTTGGGCGTCGCATGCTTGATGGCACGGCTGAGTGGTCTGATGTACCCGAGGTCATTCGCTCGTCCTTCTACGTCTTGCATAAGTCATGGCGCGGTTACGACAAGCGGTTATCCCGATGTGAGAAGTCATTAGCCGCATGTCTTGACCGCCAGGCGCGCATCGAATTGGAGCAGGTCCAACAAAGTCGGCGCGACGCATTGTGCATGCCATTAGCGCGCGGAACGCCGAGCGAGAACGAATTGAGAGAATTGCAGCAGAAAATGTCAGCACTGAAAGACGAACTCGCGTGCAAGCTGGACAAAGTTGGCTTTCTCACGACTATGGACGGAGCCATGCGCGTCACCCACGACGAGCACACCAAGCACATCACAGAGAAGCTACAAGCTCACTCTTCTCGCTTTGAGACGACACTACTGAAGATGAAGACCGTATTATCTAGGAAGCTCGTGGCGGTGGAAGGTGTGGCATCTTACCCTTGACCGAATCTACCATTCGACCCCACAAGCATGATATGTAGAGCACTCTCGTGAGGCACAGGCGTCAGCTGCCCAGCATATCCAAGACCAATGTCGTAGTTTGCAAGATCTTCAGCAACACGTATCCATCCTAGATATTTCTCGTACGCATACCAACCGGTTGACCTAAGTCGGCTGAAAACGTTGAGTTGTACGAACAGGTGACAACCTGCAAGCCGCGGACAAGTCGAAAATGGACAGATTAAGCGATATTGAGTCGTGTATCATGACGCTGTACCGGGGATTCCTTGGTCCTGGCCCTGACTCTGCAGCAGCGTCGCACTCCGTGAAAACCCTAGCATCAACCGTTCCTGCAACTCTGCTCCAAGACATTTTGCTCCAACGAAACCGTGAGGTATACATGTATTGACGACCTAGTGTACCTTACTTGGGCCGAGTAGATTCTCGATTCAAGCGTGAAACAACTCACTCAAACGACTACCAAGATGTTTCAAGAACTCCGAGAGCAGCTTTGCGCCGTGCAAATGAATCTCCGTGAGGTCGAATCCACAGTATCCACATCAAGCTCAGTACCAACAGCACTCCCCGTGTCGAACGCGTTGGTCAAGTCCAGTGAACCTCCAAAACAGCAAACACATGGAAACCCCGTCGAAGTGCAGTTTGAGTTGCTGCAAGAGCAAGCGGTGAAGCTGTCAGTCCAGCTGAAGGAGCTCCAAACCATCGCAAGGAGCAACAACAGCCACAGTCCGGCGATGCCGACCCCTTCACCTACAAGAACAGTGCTGTCTGGCTCCTCGTCCTGTGGTTGTGAGAGCCAAGTCCATGTCAACGAAAAGGTGTTGGCAGACCATGTCAATCACAATCAGGACTACGCCACGACGCCGCCGGCTGTTCCTTCCATGCTAGACACCAAGAAACTCGACTTGCGGCACAAGCGAGAGCTTTCCAAGGCTCGCTTTGACGAAGTTGCCCTTCGTCAAAAGGAACGGTTGCGAGGACGCCAGCCCCCGCCAGGCCGCAAACTCGACTAAACAATCGCTTGTTTCTGCTGCCTATCGTAATAAAGCTCAAGATCGACGAACTGTTAGTGGAGCACGAAGTATACAGGGTAGGGCTAACAAATAGAACCACCAAAATCCGAAGTCGGACGAAGTACGCTGTCATTGATTACTCATTGAGCTGGTGTGGCTGCACACGTAAGAACCAACAGCGGCCTAAGTCGACGCTAACGTCATCGGCGGCAATGTCATGAAGGACACGTTGCGTGTCTTGAATGGCTTCGAGGAATGAAATACACTCCAAGTGACGGCTAGTTTCCGTGAACGTTGGGTTGATTCCCAATAAGCATGTGAGCTCCACCACACGAAGCCTCGCGGCTTGCCACAGAAGTTGAGTGGATTTGTCCTGTACGTCTTGACGCAAAGCTGTGGCCGTGCACACAACGACGAGCACCCACTGGGCAAACGTAAACTCATCGTCGTGCTGTTGGTTGCATTGGACGTTTGTCGTACAGAACTCGAGGGATACTTGGCTACATCGGTGATGAATCCGACACCGCAGTGTTCCATCCGCTAGGCAAGCTAGATATCAGCATGACAACAAATGGTATACGTAGTCGTGTTACCGTTGGAACTGCACACAACGTACTCCACCTCGCCAAGGTGAATGGTGTCTACTGTGCCGTCGTGTTGTATCTCGAGGGTCTGGCCATGGGCTGAAATGAAAGCGCTTGACGGTATACCGTCGCTGTCTTCGTCACGAAACAACAGACATGGAGCTCCAACCTTGCATGCTTGCAAGCTGGCCAAGTAGAATCGCTATGCGAATTGTCGACTTGTGGAGGTGATAATAGTACCAATATACCTGAAAAGCAGCGACCCGGGCGTGGATATCGCTGACGCGGCCCAATATCGTCTATATACCACGTGAGGCACTTTTAGTACCATAGACGACACATACTTGGAAGTAGAGGCTTGCGCGCCGTGGGTGCAGCGGCAAGGCCATTGGTGCGCGCCGCTTCGACAATTACGCAATCCACCATCACTCCAACATTGGTGTTGTTTCAGGCGACCAGAGTGATGGTCACGTAAAAGCCGTAACGCCCCTTGTGCAGCATTCACCAAAACATGTCAACAGCAGCACTTCAAGGCAAGGTCGTGGCCATCACGGGGAAGCTTTGCTTAGGCACTCGCGACATAATTGCTGCGCTTGTTGAAAGCCACGGTGGGGTGTTTGCCGGATCCGTGTCGAAGCATGTGACACACTTGGTGACGGCTGACCCCACCGCGTCGTCGGCCAAGCTCGTGCAAGCCAAAAAGTTGGGCGTGGTGGTGGTTGGCGAGTCCTTCTTGTCGTCTTTGCCGCAGGCAGCCATCAAGGAGGAGACACCATTGCCACCTGCGAAGAAAGCCAAGCTGATGGAGTTTCAGGGCCAAGTGTGGTTCATCTATGGGGACCTGTCCATAGACAATGCCGACATCATCACGTTCATCGAAACGAACGGTGGAGTGTATTCTCCAACTCTGACGCAGGCAGTGACTCACGGCATCTTTGAAGAGCCCACTGCAACCAGGTACTTTAATTATGTCTTCATCATATTGGACTCGATCGTGATCCATGGATTGTGTAGCCCAACACACACCTTGGCCAGACAATGGGGCGTCAAGATGCTCAACGAATCGTACATCACCCAACGCATGTTCGCCGATATGTTTGGCGACGATGAAAAGGCAGCCATAGGTGGTGACATCCCGGTGCCAAAGACCGTAATCGCAGATGGAGATGTGGTCGCTGTATCAGGTTGCATATGTAGGATATATTTATTCCGCGCTTAACCCCGTCATGTCGTAGGCAACAGTTCCAACTACGAAGTTCGTTTCCGTGGTGGCGTGTATTATTGCACATGCATGGGCTGGAAGATGCAAAACAAGGCGGTGGACGCCCGGTCGTGTAAGCACTTGCGCCAGGTTCTGGGCGATGAATTCGATACTTGGCGGACTCGGGGGGACTCGGCAGCGACCACGAGCCCCGTCAAGACCGTGAAACAAAACGCGCCCAAACTCCTTTTGGCGCAAACGTGGGAGCGCCAAGACGTCGTGGGATGGTGGATCAGCGAGAAGTTTGACGGCGTGCGGGGGTACTGGAACGGCTCGGAGTTTGTGAGTCGGCTCGGCAATGTCTTTTACGCGCCCGAGTTTTTCAAAGCGCATTTGCCCACGGACCACCACCTAGACGGTGAGTTGTTTCTGGGTCGACGCCAGTTTGAGCAAACGATTGGGATCGTCAAGAGCCACAACGCTGGCGACAAGTGGAAAACCCTCACGTTTATGGTGTTTGACATTCCCACTCTAAAAGACCAGCCGTTCGAAGCTCGCCACGCGTTTCTTTTGACGCTTTTGGCTGACTGTCCATTTGTGCAAGTGGTGACACAGACCCAATGCACGTCGGAGGCCATGATGCTGCAAACTCTGGCGGACGTTGAGGCTGTGGGCGCGGAAGGCCTCATGTTGCGTCAGCCCAAGTCCCAGTACGTTGGCAGCCGATCGCCCACGTTACTCAAAGTGAAGACCTTTTTGGACGACGAAGCCATCGTCGTGGGGTACGAAAAGGGCAAAGGCAAGTACGTTGGTGTGACGGGCAGTCTAAAAGTGAAAAGTCGGACGAACAAGGCGTTCTCTGTCGGCTCGGGCATGACAGACGCCATGCGCGCCGCGCCCCCCGCCATCGGAACCATCATCACGTATCGGTTCCAGGAAACCACTCAAGCCGGCATCCCTCGGTTCCCGACGTTTGTAGGCATTGCCATTGACAAGGAATGGGACAACAAGTAGATACAGTAGCTTAAATGCACACAGTGGATATATTGTAGAGTTTGGCTATATCGGCAACTTTCAACAGGTGGATTGGACTTAGTGCGATGCAGTATGATCGGCGGCGGCGGCATTATGTGGGTGTGGAGCGGAAGGCTCAACGGGCTGTAAGGCTGCATCGAGTGCCCTTTTCGCACTCGTAACGCTGCCAAGTGGTGGTATTATTGATGACCCTGAGGATCAGTTGAACCATCACAAATTGGGTTGAGATTCAACCCAATTTGTGGTGGTTCAACTGACGAGGCCAGATCGTCCGCGGTGGTTGTCTTCACATGGAGTCGAACAATCTCAGCGCATTTCAAGCACATTTCAATATGTTCGGCTTGGAGGGCCTTGGCTTCTTTGAGATCCCCCTCCACGCTAGTCTTGATGGCCGTCATGTCAGTTTGCTGCTCTCGGAGTTGATGGGCGATCAAGTAGCATCGTGCCCATAAACAAAATGACCATATCGCTTGGCTGATGTTGCGAATCAAAGGGGGGTCCAACGCCGGGTCGGCCAACAGGTCTAGAACTTGGGGGATCGCTGCTCTTGTCGTCGCAGGCGAAACCACAATCGCCGGAAAGTCGCAGCCCACGTTGAGCGCTTCGAGGATGTTTGGATTCGACAGCAGCTTGCGCTTACCCACCTCCCACCACTCTTTCAAACTCGTCGTATCGCTGGGACCAGGGATGCCAAGAATCAAGAGCACGCACTTCATGACCAGCACACATTTTTCAGGAGGCTTGGACAACGACTTGAGTTCGCTTATGTTGCTTTTTGTGAGCGAATTCAAGGCATTCTGGGCCGCTTCCATGGCTTGCAAGAGGGCCTCGGGACACTGGGTCTCTTCAGCCGCTGCTCGTTGCACTCCGGTCGAATCAGTAGGGGGCGTCGTTGTCGAGGCAGCATCGGAGCTTGGGTTGGACGCCATGTACTTGGCTTCCTCCAACGCAGTCCGACCGGCCGCGTTGCACAACGTCGTGCTTGCCCCCGCCAAGAGTAACAGTCGTACAATGTCGGTATTGCCCGCTCGACAGGCCACATGGAGCGCCGAGTGTCCCCACGACATGGTGGCATTGACGTCAGCACCACGAGCGAGAAGAAAGTCCACGACCAGCGGTGAGTTCATGTCACTAGCCACACCCAGTGGAGTCAGGAATGTAGAAACGGTGTTGATGTTGGGGCTTAAATCGAGCATGTCTGTAAGCCGCTGCAGGTTGTTGTCTTGGCACGAATGACGCGTGACGCCAACCAAGAGGATCCCCGCAACTAGTTGCCGAACGTGGTCGTTCAGTCCGTCGAAACCAACGCCTTGTTCGATGGCGTGGAATATTTCAGCTCGATCGTTGGGGTTGAACGCTTCTGCCTTGCGGGCATCGAGAGCTTGGAGGTTGTCTATGACCGCGCGGTAGTCTTCGCGAAGACTAACGCGGTAGGTCGTCCATTGCTCTGTGGGCATGGCCAAGTCAATGGTGGCGCCACTTTGAATGGCGGCAAAGATTTCCCAGAGGCACCATGCCCGCGTTAGGGGAATGGGGTCCAAGAAGGGCTGGAACACGAGCACCACTTTGCCAAACGTACGGATGGCGTCTACAAATGTAGTGGACCACCAGCTATGAGGGCGGGCTGGGGCGTTGTGTTGGTCCACGACAAACAAGTCGACCCAAAAGAACACGTTGTCTTTTGACTCTTGCGATGGGAGCGACAAGAAGTAGATTTCGATGGCGGCCACCAAGTCGCAAAAGTTGTACTTCCACGCGTGGGACACAAAGTGAGTTGCCTGGCCAATGCTGCCATGCTCAGCTGTCTTCTGGACTGCCTCTGCAAACGAGCAGTTTTTGCCCAATGTATCGGGCTTCACGACAGCTTCACAAACGTCGCAAGTGGTAGAAGAGGATGTGAACCGTCCACTTGCCACCTGACTGTCCTTCCACGCGACTATGAAGGCACAACTTACACCCAATGAAGGAAAGACATCCATTGAAGATGATATGCTGACGTGTCAAGAACGACAGGCTGCGTCTCTCTAGCTATTATATGCTATTAATAGTACAACGTAATACTAGTACAAAACTACATTTCACATAACCATCACATTCCATTGATATTGCTAGATAACGTTAATCATGGTAGGCGAAAACAAAATCTGGAGTTTCTTCGCAGTCATCCAACTCAATGATTTCTATAACCGACAGGAATACCTCAAGAAGTAATCCCACAACACATCGCAAGCTCACCGTTGTTGACCCCCTTCGAAGCCCTCCAAAGTCAGAGCAGCTCCCAGCCACTCCCACACATCAAACTTACCTTGACCAACTGATGCTGCTTGTGGCGCTTTGGTTGGCTTCGAACGGTTTCAATATAGACGCCAACCACCCGACCTCTGGTCCATCCAAGACAGCACCCAGGCAACCCTCTTGCAGCCCCTACGATCGCGATTGCCCGCGTCAATGCTGTCTGTTCCGATGGAGCCACCTCCGTCACCGTTGTTGACCCCCTTCGAAGCCCTCCAAAGTCAGAGCAGCTCCCAGCCACTCCCACACATCAAACTTACCTTGACCAACTGATGCTGCTTGTGGCGCTTTGGTTGGCTTCGAACGGTTTCAATATAGACGCCAACCACCCGACCTCTGGTCCATCCAAGACAGCACCAACAACCCTCTTGCAACCCCAAAGATCGCGATTGCCCGCGTCATTGCTGTCTGTTCCGATGGAGCCACCTCCGTCACCGTTGTTGACCCCCTTCGAAGCCCTCCAAAGTCAGAGCAGCTCCCAGC